GACAGCAGAGACATCTGCCATCAAGTGACTGATTTGACCTTCAGGACAGAAGTATCCCAGAAGATTGAAGAGACATACTAGAATTCTGCTTTAGAAACGGCCAGTGTGGGGTGGCGGGCAGACCCTGTATGCAGCACAGCTAGGCGTCTTTATGCTTAGCTTGGGGGGTCCATTAGAGGGCTGGATCATGGAACAAGTGGTGGATGGCAGTTGTGAGGCAGCAATAGACAGCTAAGGAATGGCTAAAGGAGGAGGAGAAAAAAAGAAGGGTGGGTGACCAGAAATGAAGAAAAAAAGATTTGGGGGCCAATTAAGATAAAAACAGCACCAGTTGTTTTGGTTTGGAATTCATTTTCAGATTACGCAGTTCTGATAGAGGAAATGATTTTAAAACCTTAGCTTCTTTTAACTCCGCTAGGCATCAAAGAAGGGTGAGTCATCAGAAGGAGCAAGAATGCCAACAAAAGAATTAGAAACAAAGTAACATGCAGGTGAGAGTTAAAATTCCCTACAGAATATCCATGTACACACACAGTGCACATAGACTTACAGAAACTTACTTGAAAAACTATGAGCAAGTGGTTTCTGGAAACTCTGAAGAGGGGATTGAAATTATAGTGGTGGTCACAAGTGATTTTAGCCTGATCTCTAATTTTTGTTTTTATAAGGACAATCAAATAGATTTATTTGTGTGTTTACTAACATAATTAAATTAATTAAAAATTAAACTTCCTACAACTGACTATCCATCTATCTCACAATTGACTGCACAAGTGAACAATTAAGAGTACTCAGCAAGGCTGGGCTCAAGTGACTCACACCTGTAATCCTAGCTACTTGGGAGGATTGAAGTTAGAGGCCAGATCAGGCAAAGAGTTTGTGAGACCCCCATCTCCAAAATAACCAGAGTAAAATGGACTGGACATACGGCAAGTGATAGAGCACCTGCTTTGCAAGTGGGAAACTCTGAGTCAACCCCAGTCCAATCAAAAAAAAAAAAAAAAAGATTTTAAACACTCAACTAGATTAGGGTTCTTTATTCTTAGTACAAATTAGACACATTACTGTAACTGTCTTGCTTTAATTCTAACATTTTAATTGTAATTTTTTTTTTTTTTTTTGCTAGGCAGGCACTCTACCACTCGAGCCACACCTCAGTTCTTTGCTTCAGTTATTTTTCAATAGGGTCTGGCCTCAGACTGTGATCCTCCTACTTACACCTCCCCTCCTGTGTGGCTGGGATGACAGGTGCACATGAACACACCTGGCTTGTTAGTTGAAATGGGGTCTCACAAACTTTTTGCCTCAGCTAGCCTCAAAACATGATCTTCCTGATCTCCTCCTCCCAAGCAGTTGGGATTACAGACATGAGCCAACATGCCAGCTCTCTAACTATAACATTTTAAAAATAACATCTGAAGTTTCCCGCTGGCTAAATAATCCTAACTGGTCTTGTTTTCATATGAAAATTATTTTTAAATAAACTAAATTTAAGGTATCTGTAAATCAACAGAGGGCTGAATTTGGACTCATGTGTCCAATGTGGCATTTTCTCAGACAGGCTTTCATCTCCCTGAAGCAAGTGCAGCATCAGAGAAGCACAACCAGGCGTCCCCGGAACACAAGTTTCTAAGGAGCTGTCACTGGTGGCTCTAGCTGTCTCCATCATTTGACACGGAATGCTTTTAAGAATTCCTTATTCTTAAAAATTTTACCCAGATACACAGTTACTGCTCAAATATAAGAACATCAGTAATCGACCAAAAGTTAGTTAAAACCACTCATTTATTATGTTCAGTTATATATTTGAAATTACTTCTACGTCAATATCTCAACTGGGAACAGATGACCTGACCTTCTATTTCACACCTGCCACTGCTGAGCATCTGTGACAGCCAGAAAGGAGAAAGGGAGAAGGAAAGCCCAGGACAAACATGAGTTAGTGTATTTACAAAACCCCCAGTAAAGGCCTCTTCAAGAAAGGCCGGTTATTGACTCGTGGAGGAACAAGAGAATAATCCTGCTTATCTCCTGCAAGGTGGCAGACTGCAGGGGACACAAAGAGAAATAGGTGGAAATGCTAAAGCTCAATCCCCAGTACCGGAAAAAAAAAAAAATCTAAAAATGAATACAAGCTGATTTGAAAGGGTATTTAGTTTTAACACCATAAACACATTTTTAAAACCTGAATTTGGACCTTGTATAACTTAGAATTTACAGAAAGAACTTCCAGTATTTAAAAAAAAAATTATAGAAGTATTTTAAAAGCGAAACAAAAATATTTCAAAGACAGTTGTTTGCATTTGTGAAAAACTTCCCCTTTGGTTAAAGGAAATAACAAATGAAGAAAAAAAGTCAACGTCTCAGGTGCTTTCTTTTCTAAGTAAAGAAAGAGCATGCTACCAGTAATATAAAATCTATCCTTATACAATTCACCCCGACATTCAAACTATTTCATTATAAAAAGTCTGGTACATATTCTTTCTTCACCTTGTTTACAAACATCTGCAGACAGTCTATTAAACTAAATAGTAAATAAATTATTCACCAAAAATATGAGCCCCAAATTTGGATTCTTTAAAACTCATCTAAAAGGCAAGCAAAACAATATTCTGGCGCATAGGAGGCATGACATTACTTTTAAAGGGCTTTAAAGGATTCTAAAACAACATTTTTTAAGTACAGATTCTTTGTGTTTTCTATGTGCGATAAAACTTCAGTTTATATACAGTGACTAACAATATCTGGTCAAAATATTCCTTACAGCATAATTCTTTGTAGTAAGTGATATGCTTATTAAATTTATTTAGTGACCATTTTTCTATTAGTAAAACATTTTCCACATTCAAATGTAATGAGCTATTTAAAAGGAATTCTTCAATGAATGCATTCTATCACAGCATGAACTCAACCTAAAGCTACAGTTTATAAGGCCTACAATACATCAACAACAGCCGCTGGTAAATTTGCCAGCCACTGGTAAATTTTTCAAAAGAAAAGACCTTAATAGAACACTTTTATTTTTAAAGCAAATATATTACCGAATTCTTATCTTATACTGGATTCAATGTATATTCAATTTGCAATTAAAATTGTAATAGTCTTCACTAAACAATTGTTGAAAGAAAGAAGAGTAAAGTTGTGAGCATGCAGCTAAATTGTTTCTTCTGTTGCATGTCTCCTTTCACCTGAGTGATGGATGCTACTGGCTGATCTCACAGGAGCAAAGGAGACCACTGAGGTCAGATTTCCTTGTGAGAGGCCAGGAGAAAAAGTGAAGAATTTCACAGCTAGGAATTTGGTTAAATACATCCTCTATTCTGGTCTTATAAGCTTTTCAGCTAGTACATCAAAATCCTGCTATACTCCAGGATAATATTCATGACAATTCTCTATATTTTACCTTCTTAAAATCAAAGACTCAATTCTGAAGAGTTAATAGAGGAATTACAAAGTAACTCTCTAGTTTGCATTTCCCATAATACTAAAATAAAGCTTTATCTTTTCGTCTGGAAATTTGCTTTTTAATACTGTGAAAAGCCTCTATGAATCTGTTTAGCGTATTTACTTCTTTTCATCTATTCAGTGCCACTGGGCATAACATATACTGTGGTGCATGTTGATATTTTGCAAAGCACCACATGACTCACTGTACCCTAATGCACTCCATTAATCCTGTTTGGACAGCTGGGTCCAGGCATTTGTTAGCTGCATTTTAATTGTTCCATCTTTCTCTTTTTTTCTTCTTTTTATTTATCTCTATGGCAAACAACTCAGGAATTTAATTTGTCAGTCTTCAAAAAGTAAATTTTGCCATTAATTTGTTTTCTTTGTATTAAAACTATACTCAGCATGTAATTTTCTTCTGTAACAATCAGCATATATTAATGATTAGCAATTAATCTTAAATAACAAAGAACAGTAAATAGGTTTTATAAATATTAAAATGGTAAGGTGGTTCTCTTATCAAAGTTATCTGATGGATGGTCATAACATGTATGAGAACATTTAGCTTCAAATCAGGTTCCTAATGTGCATACTTTTGGCATTTTCAAGATTAGCACACCCTAAGTAGATGTCAAACAATAAAAAGTCCTATAAAGCAAACACAAAAGAAATAAGACCACAAAATAAGTGGGTTTTGCATAAGCCTGTGGAATAGTGGTCCCTTTTACATTTATACATTAATTCCATGTTCTGTTAAAACATGAAATTCTTTGTAAAAATTGTGAAGATAAATCCACTGTGCATTTCTTACACAGCCTGCAACACTGATGGCCTGAGTCTTCATTCAACAATGGAGGCAACTGAGAGCTAAAGCAGAGGCAGCTCAAAGGCCCTACAAGTGCTATCATAAGGGGATACAGTCTATTGGCAGAATTTTTCTCATCATTTTCCTAATCATTAATTTCTTAAAACCTATGTCTAGAGAATTAGACCTAGTGGAAACTCTTGTCTGAAATCACACTTAGTCAACAACTGAACATACAGTCTATGACAGCATTTTTATAATGACAAGAAGGCCAAAGAAGACTTACTCAACTATTTCAGTAACAAAGTGATACCTGTTTTACTTTTAGAAGATGATCATGATACTCTGCATGCTAACAAATTAAGAGAACACTGTGACAGAAAGACAGGTAGGGACAGAGACTGAGTGAGAGTGTCCTTTGCACTGGTGTGCTCCAGGGACTGCAGCACACAGAGTGCAAGTGCTTTCTACTTTCAAAGAGCAGCTTAAAATAAGCTTACAAATTTCTGCCTTTTAAACCACACAGTAAATTACACATTCAAAAAGATGTCTCATTTAAGAAAAATTATTTTAATACTTTCTAGAAATTAAATCTTTTTTTTTTCAAAAGTTAGTTTCCTCAGTAGAAGACTGAAAGCCTAACTTGTGAATGTGGTGAAGGGAAAAAAAAGCAGCCTATTGTTTGAAGAAGGAATGTTTGTGTGTTTAAAGAATAAATGGTCTTTTTTTGATATGGTGTGGACCTACACATAAGGGAAATATAGAATAGAAAGTATAAAATGATGTGGGAAGAAGCATTACGTTTTAAAGGTGATCTTTTTGAAAGAGTTTAGAAAGTAAAAGTTAAAGAGGTTTATGTAAAAACATCTTTAAAAGGTATGGCTTTTAAATGGACATTTCTCATTCAAACTTACCCAGTGTTCGTGACATCACAGGCAGAGCAGAGCTCAAGACCAAGATTGACACACAATTCCCAATGATCTGTTGAGAAAAACATTGGGCAATTAAGCAGTAGTATGATAACAAACCCATTAATGTTCTGTGAAATTTTGGAGTGTAGTTACCTATTGTACTGTGCCAACTTCTTAATGATAATTTACTATTTAATACAAATTTTTTAAAGAATAATAAACTTTTCCTACAAATATTTAAAGTTATATCTGTGAATTCTAGAAGGTATTTACAGTACTTGGCATGAACATAAAGTTAAGGAACACTGAAATTATTTCACAGACATTTTATATTATTGATGTGGTTACCAATTTCAAAAAACTTTGCATGCAAGTAAAAGAGAATACATTTATTATTTCTCACTGTATTTTTAAAGCCAGATTACTGCTCAAATTCAAGAGAATTTGAGAAGTAGATGTGAGATCTACTTCTAATATGCTAGACTACTAAGATTTAAGGTTTAATTCTGGTGCTTTCAGGCAACAGAATTCCAAATATCTAACTTTAGTAATTTATTTTTGATGTATCCTATGCTGTTCTTTCACATTAATAAGAGCAGTTAAAAATACTGATTAACAGTCTGATGACTTAAACTAGATAATGGATACCTCGACTACTTACTGACTGTAAAGAAGTCATAGTATTACATATTTATGGATATAAATAATTAAATACAGACATATAAACATATAATAACTTGTCTCCTTTAAGTAGGCTAAAAATATGGAATAAAAAAAAAAAGCAAGGCAGCAGCTCTCATTAGCCATTCTTTATCAGCCTGTGGGAATATTTTATAAAGATTCAGTTGCTATACAAGCTAACAGCCTTTATTACTCCAAAGCCAATGACATGTTGTAGAAAGTCAAATTAGCCTCAGACGACAAAATGTTTCTCAACAGAACTCTTCCGTCTTACTTTAATTATTTAAATTTGAAATACTTTGTCCTTACTACTTGTAGCAACTAAGTTCTTCAGATTTCAAGCAGGCTCCCTGAAGTACAGTTAGCACAATTGGAGTTACTCATTAGCACTAAGCTTTCTCTAGAGGAAAAAGAGTCCTTTGAGGAGCCGTCCACAGCCAGTTAACAAGCTCTGCAATCCGTGCATTTACAAGTGAATGGACGCTGTCCAAATTCAACAGAGCACATCCTTTTCCCACTCACTCAGCACTCTGAAAATCTTCCAGTTGGTGTTTACGCCACTCACAAATCCCTATCACTGCAGACGAACCATTCAGGGCGATTACAAATAAAACACTCCATTTGCCTTAGAAAGCAAAAGAAAGGCCACAGTAACCTAAGTAAGACTTTGCCTTACCTTGGTCATAGTTGTGTCATCCTTCTTGGGTGTGAAGTTTCCAAAAAATCGGAGGCTATAGAAACCAACGACAGAGGACACCATGAGATAGCTGTGAGAATCAAGGAAAAATCCTGGAAAAGGATGCAGGTTTCCCTAAATTCTCAGCAGAGAACTTAAGGCCCAAAGGAAAAACAAAACAAAAAGTGGCTTTGAGTGCTTGAGGAGGACTGACTTGTTTTTTCTACTAGACAAGTGTCTTAGTAAATTACCACTGTTCCAGAAACTAGACAGAAAGCTTATTAACAGAATGTTCAGCAAAAGAAAGGATACAAAATCAAAATAATTTCAAGTGCAGCTCCCACAAAACCAAAAGTGGAGAGAGAGGCATGTCCTATTCCAGGTCCCTGGGGGAGAAAAAGACACTTCTTAGAATTCATTGACACCACTTATTTGTTTTTCCCTAAAATTGTTGCTTCATAAATAGAAGACAGTTGAAATTAGGATATTTAATATTTTGAAAGGCCAATAAAACATGGTATTTGGCTGATTTCATCAACAAAATCAGCTTCCATGTTAATAATTTTAGCAAGCTCAAAAAACTCTGATTTATTTCAAATACAGTTAAGTTCCTTGTCAAAATGATACAGTTATGCCTAGTGTTACAAAATGAACAATTTGCTATGTAAAAAAATATATTGTGAATGTTCTTGGGAGAAATGTTTTAAAAATAGAATAGCACAAAAGAAGAAGAATATACACCTATCTAGAGGCTGAAACAATGTGCAAAAGTTACACAGTATGTCAAGATTAAGCTGAGTTTAGGAAGAACATGGATGTTTATCCTGTTTCCTTTCCCCAAAATTCAGAGTTACAACAGATATATTGCTAACACAGACTATTAAAAAGTAATACACACATTTTTTTCCTAAACATTATACCATCTCGAAATCTTTTTAAAAAAATCAAAACAGAAAAAGTAATACTTACATAATAAGACCTGATAGGCAAAATATCATTCCCAACTAAAGTAGGAAAAATACTTTCAAAACTTACTAGGTAAGCATTAAAGGAACTATCTGAATGTGAATTACTGCTTCACTAGTCAGCTTAAATTATGACA